GCTGCTGCCGCGGCTCACCTCGCTCGACCTGTCCACAAACGCCATCGAGCAGGTGGGCCATCTGGCGGCGCTGCCGGCGCTACGCCACCTGGACCTCTCCAACAACTGTCTCAGCGAGCTGCCCGACCTGCACACCCGGCTCGGCAACGTCGCGCGGCTGCAGCTCTCCCAGAACCGCATCAGCTCACTGGCGCCGTTCGCGCGCGTCCTCTCGCTGGTGCAGCTGGACCTCAGCTTCAACCAGGTGCGCGACCTGGAGGAGGTGGCCAGCCTGCGCGGCCTGCCCTGCCTGGAGGACCTCAGTCTGGTCGGCAACCCGGTGACAGACGCCATCGATTACCGGGCGCGCGCGCTGGAGCGGCTCGGCGAGCGCGCCGCGCACGTGACGCTCGATAACGAGTCGAGCTCGCAGTCTGAGCTGGACCGGGTGCTGGTGCTGCAGGCGCTGCGCACGGCGCGCGAGGGCGGCCCCGAGTTCCTGCGCCGCGGCTGGCAGGGCCGCGTGGTGACCATCGTCTGAGCGGCGCCGGAGGGACGCGCGCCTGCCGAGCCGCCGCAGTCGGTACCGCCGCCCCGCGCCGACAGACAGGTCAGTGACCGGCACAGTGACCCTCTGACCGTAGTGGGACCCTATCGGATCAGCAGAGGCGTGCCAGGGGATGACTGAATGACACCAGAGAACTGACATGACGGGAACTTGCTCTGCCGAAAGCCTCGGTGGCATCCTGGCTTAATCGCCACCAACGATAGCCCAATCTAGGACAGAATCAGGACCCTGCGTTCCGTGGTTACTCGCCCGTTATTTTACGATCTTTTAAATGTAGTGACCAAACAGGTTGTGCCAATTAGAACCCATGCATTGGATGTACTCTAGGGCTACGTCTGTTGCCCTGTGCTTTAGCTGCATTTGTGGCCGAAATACTGTTCACGTTTTCTGTGAACTTAGCTGTTAATGTCAACCTAGGAGCTGCAACCGTTGTTACTGTTAGCGCTCTTACTGTACTTACACCAATGTCTGACATCATTGCTGTTGTGTTGGCGCTGAAACTGTATTTGCATTCGATACTTCATACTCCACCGTTGCGACACTACGCTATACTTGTTACCACAATATGCCAGCGCGTTGCGTTTGTATGTAATGTATTGACATCGGCACCATTGGATTATAAGAGTTATCCGCCGACACTGCTGGACCGGTCCAGCCTCTGCCGCTGGGCCCTCGGAGTAAAACAGCAGCAAAGAGATCGCCTGTGAAACTCAATCATACTGAGCTGCTCTGTCGTTTGTATGTTGTGGCTCGCGCTGTTCCATTTATCGAGTGTGCTGTGTGCCTGCCAGAAGCAATCGTGATATGAATGGTAACTTGCATTTTCAGTGTGTGCGTCTTTCATTCTATGAGCATTGTGCATTCCAGCGGGTCGGTAAATCTGATATTTATGAACAGCCGCGCTTATTTGCAAGTATCTAATATATCGAAAATGCAACACACCAATGTTTTCTTGGCGCTAGAAATAATTAACCGTTGTGGTGCGGCAAAATCTAACACGCCTGTGTGTTGTACTGTTGTAGTGATCATCTCCCTCTCCCAGACGCCTGTTTCCTTTCCTAACTCAATTTTTCCTTCTCAGCCCCTGGAGCGGCGCTGGGCGTTGCTGTATCTCCTCCAATCCCGGATCTGTCTGCAGTCCCCGCCTCGTGAGGTCCAGCCGAGGTCCGGTCCGACTGAGCTGCTCCTGGGCTGAGCTGCCTCCTGACCTGCGGCGGATGGTGACCTGTCGCCCGTCAGCCCTGCCGGGTCCGACCCGCGCGCCACGTGAGGTACGGACTACGGAGATCAGCTGTGGGGGACCTTCCCCGCCACCCCTGCCATCTGACGGACGGGACCCGGAGCTCCGCCCCGCGGCCGCCGCGGCCAGGTGGCGCTCCGCTGACCGGGAGTGGTCGTTTGTGCTTACGATTTGTGACGTGTTTGTGGTTCAGTAGGCTCCCCTGACTCAAGTAGTTAAATCCCTACTACGTGCTACAGCTGTGCTACGAACAACTTTAAAGAGTGCTTGTCTGACTTTCGAGAACTGCAAGTCACCGAGGATCCGCTCCCTGACCATCCCAGTTCACTGCCCCTCTGCCGCCCCCAGTAACACCGCGCGGGCGGGGGAAGCTGGTTGTAACGGGCCGTAATCCCAGCTCTAACCCAGGGCGAGAAGGAAGCCGGCTGTAGGTTCTTGATCGCAAAGCGCGGCTCTCACAGTTAATTTTTTGTCCTAAGTGTCATCTGCAGGCCTGAGAGTAAACCTAGCGTTTACCGGAGTCCACAGAGGTACCGTTATTACAGCATACCCACCTACATTTTTGAAATTTTACCGAGATGCGCCAAATCACAAATACAGAGCAGAGCAGTTGGTTCAGCATGCTAGCTTTGTTCCTCGACTCACGGATCACGAGCCCAGGAACAAGATGGACCCACGCCGGCCGGATCCGGTAAAAGTTCTGGCGAATGTTACCGTGGACTTTGGCCCTCCGGCGCCCTAATGGGAATCGCTACGCTGGGTGCAGGCTAACCGACGATCGGTAAAACGTGATCAATGCTAACCGGGCTGGGGCCCGGCTTTGCAGGAATATCATCGAAGGGAATAAGCAATATTGACTTGAAAGCTGGTGGTTTTCATCTCGACTAGCTTGGCCCGACCTTCGCCGAAAATAGGTCGTAAGCGCGTCCCATTATCACCCGCATTAACCGAGCCCCGCCCGGGTGTGTCGCTGTAGAGGCGTTCTCTGGTCGTATTCTGTTGTGTAACAAACCGCGGCACCGTTTCCGGGCCGCCAGGTATTCTGACGCGTCTGATGTCGGGGAAACACATCGCAAACAATCGGCGGCCTCGGCTGGCAGCGGCGGCGGCTCCGCGGCCGGCCTGGGTTTGTGCGTCCGTCGGTGGCGGGTCCTATGCAGCGGCGTATTTAGAAAATCGCGAAGGGGGGGGCCAAGGGTTTGGAGGGCGCCACCTCACCCAAGGAGGGCGCCATACGGTCGCGAGATAAAAAATCGCTCAGCGGGGTGGGGGGGGGGGGGGGGTTGGGAGGCGTTTTTTACCATGCCACCAGTTTTTTTTTGCGTAACCTCGTATAGGTCGTGCTGCATTGATTTTGCATCGTGTGTATTCTTTATACTCCAGGTCACAAAAGGTCAAGTGTTCTTGAAATGCTGCGCCGAAGGCGCGCGAAATTTTTGAAAACAACCTTTTCCTCCGCTTTTTAGGCACGCCTTTTATACGATCACCGTTCAAAGCTCCTCTCGCTCTTTTACCAAATTTGAAGGTGTAAAAAATACCTAAGGTTTGGTCGGGCCGCTGCCACACAAACTGTATAGAAAGCTTGGCTCATGGGTGTCGATGCATAAAAGTTTATTGGCGGTGGCATATCTACGCACCAGATCACCGTATCGGATTGATACCGGAGCGCGAGATGCGTAAACATCATCCAAATTACCTCAGACCAGCCTTCATAGCCTTCTCACAGATGCATACAGTGTACCCACATAACCAGTTTCAATCACCGAAACTTCAGATGCCTGCTGTTGCGGCCGAACCTGTTGACAATACTTAATCGTAATCCATATAGATGCCATGATGCACGTAAAGTAGGATCAATCCGTTAAGACCAAAGACGTGTTTTATGCATCGTAGAGCGTAGATAGTTTTGGTAGGTATAGGTACTTCATTCATTGTGCTGAATGCACGTTCATTTGTGGCAGTTTTCACAGGCAAGACATCAACTATGTGCAATAGAACGACTAAGTTGAAAAACATGCCAAAGGAGTAAATAAATGATAAGAGGGCAGCGATCAACGGATGTTGCCAATAGGTAGAAGGGCTGCGATCCACAGGAGGGCGCTAATAGGTAGGAGAGCCCCGATCAACATCCCGAGTTTCGATAGTAGGGCACCGATAGGTAGGAAGTTGGCGAGCAGCAGGAGGGCGCCAATGGATAGAAGGGCAGCGATCAACAGGAGGGCACCAATAGGTACCTAGGAGGGCCCCGATCAACAATCAACAGGAGGGCGCCACCAGGTAAGAGGGTGGCGAGGAACAGGAGAGCACCAATAGGAGGGTGGCGATCAACAAGAGGTCGCCAATAGGTGGGAGGGCGGTCATCAACAGTACTGGAAGTCGTTAATGAGCGGAAGGGTGACGATTAAAATGGGGGTGGCAATGGTGAGGAGGGCGCCTTTGCTCAAGGGGATGACACGAACAGGAGGGCGTCTGTGCGGAGGGCGCTGGTCAACAGGAAGGTACCAGTGGATAGGAGGGCGGTGATCAACAGGAGGGTGCCAGTGGTTAGGAGGGCGGCGATCAACACGAGGGCGCCAATAAGAGAAGGGCCCCGATTAACATTCAACAGGAAGGACTAGGGAACCAATAGGTAGGAGGGCGGCACTGAACAATAGGGTGCCAAAAAGGAGAAAGGCGGCCTTGAAAATTTCACATGAGGGCGCAATAGGTAGGAGAGCGCCAATAATTATGAGGACGCCGATCAGCAGAAGGGCGGCAATATGTAGCAGGGTGGCGACCTACAGGAGGGCGCCTTCGGGTGAGAGGGCGCTTATTTACGGGACAGCGGCTTACATAGGCGACCACCGTTACGCTTAGAGAGCTACAGCCTACAAATGTGGTTGGAGGGCGCCCGAGGGAGCCCTCCAACCGTATTTGGAGGGCGTATTTGGAATGGGCGTCCTCCGAGGGCGCCCTCCATCCGTATTTTCCCTGTAAACACATTCGCGATTGGAGGGCGCCCTCCAGTCGCGATTGTTTTTCGATTCGATTATATCACAATTGCATTTGCGATTGGAGGGCGCCTTCGGCGCCCAAGGGGGGGGGCCATGGCCCAGTGGCCCCCCCCCCCCCTGCCTACGCCCCTGGTCCTATGTCACCGCCGGGCGTCCCTGCGACGGTGTGCCACGGGCCGGCCGGCGTGGAGAGCTGAATCGGTGTCGGGCCGCCGTTGGTACGACCTCCCCCCTCGCCGGCGCTGACGGGGGGGGGGGGCGCTGCTCTTGCCGGTGACGAGCCGTGCCGGAAGTGACGGCCGGACGTCACAGAGAGCGTGACGGTCCATAGTTGAACGTGCCGGCCGGCGGGGCTCGGTACCGAGCACTGGGCTCCGCTCCCGGACCTGGTGGCGAACCCGAGAGCGGCGCCGGCGCCGGCAGTGGCTGCCCGACACCCCGGCGGGACGCGCGCCCGGCGGACGGACGGGAGGGACAGCCGGCCGAGTCCGAGCAGCTGCGAGCAGACGGCCGGGCGCCGGTGTCCGGTGGAGGCGCTCGGGGCCGCTCCGGACCGCGTCGGTCACACTCGTGACGTGCTCGGTGACAGCGGCGCCCCCCACCTGCCGGCGGTGACGCGCGCGACCTTGTGACCTTTGGTGCGCCGGGCCGGGCCGGGCGGCGCCGCGCAGCCGGCACAGAGCAGTGGTCCGCCGCGCTCCGGGCCAGCACGATGCGGATCGAGAACCCGACGTTCGCGCTGACGCCGGAGCCGTCGGCGCCGTCGGTGACGGCTGGCGACCCGTCGCCGGACGTGACGCGCACCGAGCCGGCCGCCGTCGAGCAGCTGAGCTCTGCCGACAAGGCCGGCCTGGTGGACGGCGCCGCCGACAGCGACGTCGTCTACGTGCGCGGCTGGCGGCTGCGCAAACTGTGGCTCTGGCAGGCGCTGGCCGCCGCCTGCCTCGCCCTGTTCGTCATCATGGGTAAGACCGCCGACCGGGGGAGCTGGGAGGGGCGGAAGGGTGACGTCCAGACTCGGAATAGCCGGGATCTTACAGAGCTCTTGTTTTTATAGTCCAGTGTAATGGCGGTGTAATGTGGCGCCTGTGGCAGCGATTGGTAGAGTGCAATGGTAAGTGCTCAGCTGCTCTTCACGTCTGCGCTCATTTTATGACGGATATGAGCATGCGTGAGAGGTTGCAAAATCTCGTGTCCGATTTCAGGTCCTTCACGAGTAGAACCTACACGGTACCCATTCCAACTTGACGTCCTTTCCATTCGGTAATACGCTTCCGGCCACGCTCCACAACAACACATCTCGGATTTTGGTTACGAGTTTCATTGAGACCGTGTTATTACCGTGTTGCCTGTCGTTTCATTGAGCGGCCCGGCCCGGGCTGTCACTGGCGTTACCGCGATAGAGCGCAGAGCTGACTGGGGTGGGAGGTCGGCCGTGGATCGGGGCGGTGCGCCGGCCGATGCCGCTGATTCTGCGGGGCGCCGGCCGGCACGGTGCATTCGGCACGGTCGCTCGCCAGTTAGTCGGTTAATTTAGTCGGCGCCCGGCGGCGCCGCGGGCCGGGACTGACCGTCGCAATAGTCGGGCCGGGCTCATGGGAGGCTGTTTAGTGTTTAACCTCTACCCCGTCTGCAACGACAGCCGAACGCATAGTAAATCCGCAATGTCTGCAAATGGGATGCACAGATATACGGCCCGAGTTGGAACATCATGACAATGTGAAGGTGGACTCTGGTAAATGGTTGTTCATGTTGTCCCACGGCAGGCTGGCGATCTCATTGATCATTCTATGTGCTATTTTTAGAAGGAAGATGCTTTTGGGAACGTGATGGGCTAGTGTGCGAGATGTGCACTGGACATACCGTGCGATCGCTGTCCTGTCTGTCCTATTTGACCGTGAGATGGACTACTGTGCCGGCAGTGGTGGCCTACTCTGCTCGGGGCGGCAGCAGCGACACCCCAGTCAGCAGCGCAGTCATCGGCGGAAACAGCAGCGGCGGCATCACAACCACCACCACAACCACCACCACCACCACCCCCAGCACCACCACGACGGCGCCGCCCGGCCAGCTGCACGAGTGCTCCCAGCCCGACTGCGTGTTCCAGGCCGCCGACATCGTCCGCCTGATGAACTTCTCGGCCGACCCGTGCACCGACTTCTACAGCTACGCGTGCGGCAACTTTGAGCAGGTGGCGCCGCACCGGCGCTCCTCCCGGTGAGCACGCGGCCAGGGACGGGAGGAGGGCGTGCGCAGATTGTCCGTCATCGTAAATTCCCGGCCGTTATGTCAATATTACCTACGGTTAGAACTCGGTGATACATAAACATCGATGATGATCATAAAACATATTGTAAAATAGCTAAGCCAGATTGGAGTGGGAGAGGTCGAAGGGTTAGGACTATTGATTATGTTTAGGAATTCCCAAGGCCGCCCTCGACGCCGTGCTGCACGGCCCCGTCTCCCCTGTCCCGGTCGCAGGCTCACGTATCGGCGGCGCGTGGTCTCGCCTGTTTGGCCACAGATGGCCAGGCACGCGCTCCACCATTGATCGAAGGCCTCATGCGGCTCAATGTGCGGCCTTTGTCACGTTCGCAGCGTGCTACACACGCCGGCATTGTCCAACTGTCGCCACGGAATGCCCACCAGGCTGCAATACTTGTGCAGCCAGCTGGGGTTGCAGTGCCTTACTTTCACATATATTATTTATTTCGGGCAGGAAACGTCCGTGTATAAATTTGTGCATCCACTGTGAGTGAACTGTCCGTCTGTTCAATACCAGCTGGTACAGTTTAGGCCGGTACAGAACACTATTATGTCAGACCATTCCGCCAGTCGGTGTAACCCGCGCTGTGACCGCCCGCGTCTCCCCCAGGAGCGTGTACTCTGTGCCCGACTGGCTGACCACACAGAACAACGAGCGCGTCGTGGAGCTGCTCGAGGACAGACCGGACGCCTACAGCCCCGACTCGGCCCTGTGGAAGGTCAAGACGCTCTACTCCAGCTGCCTTGACGACTACGCCAACCTGCGCAACGCAGGAAAACGCATGGTCAAACTCATCGGTAAGCCAGTGGCACGGCAGCTGTTGAAGCGTGTTACAGTCACGCATATACTGACATTGAAATGTCATGTCCCAGTCGAATGATTACTAAAGCTATGCGAGGAGAAAACGTCATGTCATGCAGTAATGTTGCAGCTGCAACGATGACGCGGTGACTAACAATGACGGGTGTATGGCGTAGTTCGCCATACCACCGTCCGTTCTGTGGCCTGTAACTGCTCCCCCACGGGGAGCAATTACAGGCCACAGTTACAGGCCACAGTAACTGCCGTGTAACTGCTCCCCACAGTATAGTTCTGCCCAATCGGTGGACGAACATCATTTGAAGCCCATGCCGTCTGTGGGTGAAGTGTATTACCTCGCTGATGTGCCACTTACTAGTGTGACCTCTGACGTCCGTTATCTACCTGATGAGACCTATGTGCCGTACTAGTGTGACCTCTATTGACCCGATATGACCTGAGTCTGCCCTGTACCCGTTCAGACGGTCTGGGAGGTCTGGACCTGTGGGGCACGTGGGACCCTCAGTTCTGGCTGTTCAACAACACATTCAGAAAGGTACACGACGAACACTGGACAGACGCCATGATGAACTTCTTCTGGGTGCGCAACCCGCGCGACCCCAGCAAAAATCTGCTCAGGGTGAGTCGGGACGCGGCGAACGTCTGGTTCAGTCGACTCGTCTGGTTCAGCTCCTGCCGTGCTGTGAATTGGGCTGAGGCTCGTCTATGAGTATTCGTCATTCACGTGGAACAAGAGCGAATGAGGGTTGTCAATGAATGCCGAAGGTGTCCGGAATGGTAATATATGCTATTGTAAATTGTGGCGATGTCATACTGTATTCCACAGATAACAAAGTCGGGCCTCGGTGTACCGTACCTCCGCGCCTACATGAACCCAGATCTTCCCGTCTACGAGGAGGTATGTATTACACCGTGTCGGTTAGCTGGGCTGTTTTCGTATGACACCTTTTACCGACAAGCCAGATACTATGTTAGATATGTAAGGCATATGTATGTATTTTTTAATATATGTTACCTTGTCGACATCTGTGTCCCAAATCAAAATTCACCGACTACTGTTACTAAGTTGGACACCCGAGCGCTTTTTTCAAGCGTACTACTTGTGTCGTAAATTAATGCCTACCCAGTTTGGGATAAAAGTGCGTTCTGATGAATATTATTGTATTGACTGTGACCCCGTGTCACACGACTCAACCCGTGCTGACATCTCGTCCCTTCCCTGCCGGCCAGCTGCTGTCCACGTACCAGGAGACGATGCTGAACGTCATGGGCATGCTGGTGCGGGACTCGGGCGTCAACGTCACGGCGCTGAACCGCTCCTGCGGCGACCGCTGCCTGGACGACTTCGTCAGCGACGTGCTCGACTTCGAGACCAAGCTGGCAAACGTTGGTTGGAGGACGGCATTAGTGCCTCATCAGAGAGTCGCACCACATCCCCGTAACATACACGGCGCTGTACAGTTAGATGCTAACTAAGCAGGCGGTCAGACCGAGATCTTGGATAGGTACCACAGACCTAATCGCAACATATAACTTTATAATAACATAACATTAACTAATGGTTCAGACAGCATGTTCATTAGTTAGCTCCCTGCACCCGCCGATAACCTTACAGCCCTGACCGCTGACCGTTCGGCCGCGGTGCCGCAGATCTCGCTGGTCCCCATAGTGCCGTACACGCTGCGCCGACGCTCAGTGTCACCCCGCTCGGCCGGCGGCCCGCTGCACCGCTGGTTCGGCCGCCGACGGCGCAGGCGACAGGCGTTCTTCCGGCGCCGTCTGAGGATGGCACCGTCCACCCAGCGGCTCAGTCTGGCTGACCTCAGCCGCGTGGCGCCCCAGGTGAGGCATTGGGGACCTCAGCCGCATGGCGCCACAGGTGAGACACTACACTGGTGACCTCACCCGGACCCTACGACAGGTGAGGCATTGGCGACCTCAGCGGGACCCTGCCCCAGATGAGAGACTCTGCTGCCGACACACGGTGGAGGCTCCTCCCGCAGGCTCTCCAGTGCTGCGAATTTCACAACTTAGTGAAAAACCCTTCGGTGAAATTTTGTTTCCAGGTGATGATTATGTGTCTGGACTCGTGTAGCGTAAGCGTCTGTTGTTCTGCTTACTGCGTCTGGATCCTGAATTCGCTGTGAGCTGCTGAAGATTGTTATCATTCACGTTCATGGGATGGCCTAATTAATTCAACCTGTAAAATTCGTGTAGTGTGACAACTGCAGGTTAAAGGGACTATCCCACCTTTAACATGGGGTTTGAGTTGAGATAGCCAAGTTTGCGGCGAGGTTCAGAAACCACTATCTATCTAGGTTGCAACCCCCGCGGCCTCTTGGTGTTGAAGAAATTCGTTCCCTTCATTTGAAAATGGGCCTTGCGCAAGGCCCTATCTTCAACATGGAGCGACCGTTAGTGTGACGTCACCTAGTTAAGTCATTCTGATTTAACCCGCGCCCTGCTGGGGGGGGGGGGTGTTTGAACACCCCCCCTTGTGGTTTTTCGCGAATATCTCATAAACGGCGGCGCGGAGCGCCGCCGTTTTTGGTACACCTTATCATACATCAATTCTACACATGTTGTGAAAATTTCAGACCAAGGTCATTCAAGGTCAGGTCACCAGGTCACTTGAAGTGACCTCACCTCATAAAAAGTTTCAATGTCTGTCATAGCTACACCGAGTGACCGATCGCTTTGAAACTTTCAGCGATTGCTAAGAGCAATAGCATGTACAAAATGTATATCTCAGAATTTTGATATCGATGACCTAAGGTCAGGTCAATTTTGCGACCTCCCCATTATAAGTCAATGGGAGAAAAATGAAATGCGTCTCTTTTGGACGAAAGACATTATAAACACTCCCAAACACCGAATTACAAGTGGTTTAGACAAACTGAACATGAAAATGGTGTCCGTGGCCCTTGTTTATGCCCTGAGGTCATCTAAGGTCACGAATGGTATCTAACAGTTTTTCGCAAATAACTTTTGATAGAGGCATGCTAGAGCGATGAAAATGCCTTATATGTGTTCAGCTCGACGATACGGATCGACTGATATGCAACATGACCCTTTCCGGTCAGGTCATGACCTTGACCTGAGGTCAAATTTTCAAGTTGACCTTTCAAGGTCAAGTTATAGTTCATTCGATGCGTCTTGACGAGAGGAACACGATGCCGGTGAAAGTAAGCTCGTACAAGGCTTGGGTCAAAAGTTATTGCAGAAGAACTGTTTCCGAAAAAATCGGCTATTTTTGCAGGTTTTGCCCCCTGCAGGCAAAACCGTTGACGTTAGGTCAAATCTGAGAGAATTACTCAGAAAGGGCGTTGATAGGGCTATCGAATGCACTTTTCCGCGGCGCTGTAGCTCTATTGGTTCCCGAGTTATGCGTTAGCTTCTTGGAAATTTTCGACATTCGACCTGGAAATCGGCGAAATTTTGCCTTCAATGACCTCTGGTGACCTGACCTTTGACCTGACCAAAAAATTGACCTAAGTGATTTCGTCATTATTTTTTACGCTCTTTCGAACGCCGCCTTCCGCGTATCGCTACGTGGCCCAGGAGCCGAGTTAGAAGGGGGGGGGTGTTCAAACCCCCCCCCCCCCAGCAGGGCGTGGAAATCCAGGACCCCCAGCAGGGCGCGGGTTAAATGGGTTTGTTCGTTGAAAAATCGCTTAAAACTTGGTCTGAACTTTGTTGTGGTGCCTACAGAGTAAAAAGAATCAGCTTTATGACAGTAATGTGGCCTTGGGAAGGAGGTCATTTTGGGCTGTGACGTCACATATTTGAAAGTTTGTGTTTGGAATATGGGAAGCCTAAGATGTTTAATGAAAAATAAATGCCAGAACCGTGTTCCTGGTCATCCAATCTATAAAGTCGGGCACAATTTAACTGGTTTTAACAACATTTTAGAAGGTGGGATAGTCCCTTTAAAACGGTTATTCAACCGCTGATGTCACATTATTATGTAACTCACTGTAAGCGTACGCTCCAAGCGTAGTGGTTGTGAATATCAAGTGTCACCTTAACCCGGTTTACATAGCATATTTGACGAGGCTCTAGCACGTTAATTTGGCGATAATTTTGATGCAGTGGTCTTCAAATATTTAGAGGGGATCATTTTGTAAATTGTTCAGCACCATTGGCATCTTTTGCAACATCACGGACGGAGATATAAGCTTGCAACAAACCCTATGTAAACGCGTCTATTATCAGGTCACACGCGCCGTTTTCCGTTCGTGGATGTCACGCTCCTCCGGTGGTTAGGGGGGCCTGCAGATCGGCTGCGTCTCAGGCAGCAGTGTCTCTCAGGGGAAGATCTCGGCGAGATCTTCTCTCAGGTTGGTTCCGGGGGAGCGCGGTGGGTAACAGCTGCACCTCTGTGGCCAGGTGGACTGGGTCGGTCTACTGGAGGACCTGATGGGCGCCAACATCGTCACAGCCTCCACCTGGGTGGAAATACCGCGAGACGGCTACATACAGAAACTCAACGAACTCATACGCACCGAAAACAAAAGGTAGTCACCAGTATAGCGCCTTTTGGGGCGATTAACGGAGCGAGCGAGGGGGTGAGTCTTGCGCGTGCGAAATTTCGAGGGGGTACCTCCAACTGACTTGTGCACGGCACCCTACTGACCGGTTTCTAGCGATGTGCCAAATTTGAGCACAATCGGCCCAGCCGTTCTCGAGATCTGGGAGCGGCACCCTGCACGTGCGCACGTGCAAAATGGGTCCCAACTGACTTGTGCACGGCACCCTACTAAATGGTCCCTAACCGTGTACCAAATTTGAGCGCCATCGGTCCAGCCGTTCTCGAGATCTTGAAACGACCCCTGCACGTGCGCACGTGCAGCAGCACCCCAACTCTGGCACATGGATATGCAGTGCCTAGTGGGTGCCTACCTACATGCCAACTTTGAGCGCAATCGGCCAAGTAGTTACCGAGATATTGCAACAATTACAAAACTGACACGTCTTCGTTTTGCACGTGGCACGTGCAGAAGGGGTCACCCAAATGCATCGGGAATAGTCCAATACTTGGTAGAAGGAATGAAGCTACCCTACAAAAATTACCGCATGTAAATCGGTCAAGTGGTTGCTGAGATATAAGCATCGCAAAAGCGTCCGCACGGCCGGCCGCTCATACTCAGAAATTTCCGTTAATCTAAGGAAAGACTACGCTCGCTTCGCTCGCTCCGTAATAATGCTAGCATACCATTTAGCCATAGTTCCGTAAAACTCTTCGTTTTGTAAATGCAGACTTTTTCTGCTATTCACATGGAGCTCTCATGTGCCGGTTATCATCCTTGGCTTTCTTGAACGCAACCTAATTTGTCCCTAGGTCAAGTAAAGTTACTAGTTGTGAGGTGGCTCTTGTTTCATTGATATTTCCTATCCTGTCCTGTTCCAAAGTTGGCTCGCCGCGGCTGCCTCTGATCGCTGGGTTGCCGGCTGGCCGTGATTGCAGGACGGTGCACCACTACCTGGTATGGACGGTAATCCGACGACACCTGATGGCCATGAGTGCCGACTACGTCTACCAGAGGACGCAGATGGACGTGGTAAGAACGACCGTCACCCGCTGCACAGCCGAGGGTTGTCTGACCGCTCCCGAAGACCGTAGCTTCAATCACAATGCGATCTGCGGGTCCTGCATGGCCGCACCAAATAATTATGGATACATACCAGTAAAACGCCTTTTGGGCGAAGAACGAGCGAGCGAGATAGTGAGCCCTGCACGTGCGCAAGGGCGAGAGGGTACTTCCAACGGGCTTGTGCAAAGTACCCTTCTAACCGGTCGCTAGCGGTGTGCCAAATTTGAACGCAATCGGCCCAGCCGTTCCTGAGATCTAGAAGCGGCATTCTGCACGTGCGCACGTGCAAGCGGGGTCCAAACTGACTTTTGCACGGCACCCTACTAACTGGTCCCCAACCGTGTACCAAATTTGAGCGCAATCGGCCCAGCCGTTCTCGAGATCTGGGATCGCCCCCTGCACGTGCGCACGTGCTGTAGCACCCCAACCTTAACACATGCAGATGAATTATCTGATGGAGACCTAACTGTGTACCGAGTTTCAATTCAATCGGCCCAACCGTTGTGCCGTTATTGAGGTTGCAATTTTGGGGGTTCTTAACCCGCGCACCGACGGGGGTCTGCGCCAACTTAGTACCGACGGGGGGGGGGCGGATGACCGCCCCCCCTGAGATCTCGAGAACGAAGCAAGATAGCGACAAGCGGTAAACGGCATCGGATACGCACGGACAAGGTCTACAATTTTTACTAAGGTCATTTTCAGGTCAGGTCAAAGATGACGTCACAGGGGTCGAAAAAGTCAAAATGGCGGCGCTAGATATGGAGAGGGTTTTTCTCGAATAACTTTCGAAGTAGTCAAGATAGGAACAAACTAAGGGCATCATCGTGATCCTCTCGTCAATCCGCATCGAATGATATATATGTTGACCTCGAAAGGTCAAGGTCAAAGGTTGACCTCAGGTCACGTGACCTCGAGGTCATCATGTATATCATTCGATGCGTCTTGACGAGCTGAACACAATGAGACCATCCGCGCGGCTGTATCTTGTTCCTGTAAGGAGTTATTGGCAAAAAACCTTTGGTGACCTTTGATGACGTCACATGACCTTACAGCTGCCCAACAGCAAAACAGACCTCAAGGTAGTGAAGGTTGATCGTATGTGAAGTCATGTATGGTATATGGGGCCATTCCGACCCGTTTTAGTGGTAAAAACAGGGATTTGATTTTTCCCCCATTGACTTATAATGGGGAGGTCGCGAAATTGACCTGACCTTAGGTCACCGACATCAAAATTCCGAGATATACAAATTGTAGCTACTAATGACCTAATAACATCCTGCGACTTTCAAAGGCCTCCGACATCTACTGTAGCTCTGGCACGGTGACAAAGTTGCAAAAAAGTGACTTGAGGTTGGGTCATTCAAAGTGACCTGGTGACCTGACCTTGAAAGTTAGGAGGTTCAAACTTGCACACCATGTGTAAAATTGATGTGAGAATAGTCATACCAAATTTCGCGGCGCTACGCGCCGCGGTTTTCCCGCTATCTGCGAAAAACCTCAGGGGGGGCGGATATCCGCCCCTCCCCCGTCGGTGCGCGGGTTAAAAAATGTCCAACCGTGTACCAAATTTACCACGCGCCACGTGCGGTGGTTGGCAAGAACGCATGGTGGCCATCACACCACAGAACTTTTACGTCCAAGTGACATTCAGTAAAGAAGACCGCTTGTCAATCGGATGTCCCGGTCCTAAGATATTAGCTTTTGAAGAGCGTCCCCACGGCCGTCCCCGTCCGGCCGGCCGGCCGCTCATACTCAGGATTTTCCCTTAATTCAGTATGAACTCGCTCGCTCGCTGCGCTCGCTCGCTCGTAATTACATACCCGTAGACAATGCACCGCCCTCGCCTTATAGTTTTAGTCTGTGTCGCTGATAGTCCTGCATATTTTGCCCGATTGTGTGCCTCTAACGCCCCGGCCCGGTCCGCTCGCGCCAGGCGTTCCAGCGCGGCCGGCGGCCGCCCTCGCGGCCCGAGTTCTGCCGCTCGTCGCTCGACCAGCACATGCCCGAGGCGGTCGGCATGCTCTTCGTCAAGGACCACATCGGCCTGGAGACGCTGCACCAGACGGCCAACTTCACCGGGCGCCTGGTGGCCGCCTTCAGCGACAGCCTGCGGCCCTGGATGACCGAGGCCGTGCGACGCCGGGCCGACGGCATCCTCGGCAACACCAGCTTCCACTACGGCTTCCCCAAGTGGATCATGGACGAGCGCGAGCTGGACAGCTACTTCGAGCCGCTCGGCATCGCTGAGGGAGACTTCTTCAGGAACATGAAGAACATGGACCTGTTTAAGCGGATTCAGCTGAGGAACAAGCTCAAGTACGGCAACAACAAGCAGCGCTGGACCATCGAGGCCACGCAGTGAGTGCGGACGGGGCGGGACGGGGACGGGGCACCTCTGGTGGCACCGACGGTCTGACCCCGGTCTGAGCAGGGTCCCGGGGTGAATTTCATGAGCCTGGGTTAAAACTTGCGTGATCAGTTTGTGCTTGCAGCTGTTGCTTGAATCCAGTTCATTTCAGTTTGCCCCCATTTCACTGTGGCATGTTTTGTAATTGACCCGGTGGCCCTGTGTTTCGGGCGATATTACAAACTGTGTCGATGACGATGTGTGTGCTCCGCTGATGGTCCTTTTCTCCCCCGGCAGCGCGCGGATCCTGAGCTCGCTGTCTGGCGGCTTTCTGGCGGTGCCGGCCGGCATGATGCAGACGCCTATCTTCTCGCCAAGCGTGCCCAGCTACATCAACACGGCAGCGCTGGGCTCGTTGGTGGCCGAACACCTGGCAGCCTTCACCGTCACAAACAACGGTAACGGGGCCTTAATGGTTATCGACCACGCTGCTGTGATTTCCCAGTGACATGCCTCGCTGACACATAACACAGGTTTTGGTTACGACCTGACATGGCCTAAGGTCGTGAGTATCGAATCTTCATGGTTGCGACATTGCAATGGTTTGCTGAGTCGGAACTCGAAACCATGATCGGCCCTAACGTAAGAAGGTTCAAATTGTCCGGGTATGGGGCCCCGCGCTGTCAGTCACCGGCCGCCCGCGTCCCGTCGCCGACAGATTCTACCACTATGGACAGCGTCTGGTGGGATGGCGCCACGTACCGCCGGTACGAGCCGTACCGCAGCTGTGTACTCGACCTGTACCGCAACCACACCGTGCGGCCCGCCATCACCTACATGAACGCCGGGGAGGTGAGAAGAGGGAGGGATAGAGGGACGGAGGGACGGAGGGACGGGACACCAGCGTGCGGCCCGAGATCGGCTACATGCCGGAAAAAGGGGGGAGGGAAAGAGGGAAATGGATATATGGGTATATATTCATTCCTTGGTCTGACTGGGAATGACACACCACGTCCCCGACGGCGGCCTGTCTGTCCCGGAGTGATATAACCGCACCCTGATCGCGCCTCCTCTCCATCTGTCCGGTAGATCCCTCTGCGTCCCGAGCGGCAGGCCTCTGTGCTCGTCAGTCGCCACTACGCGCTCTCGGTGGCGTTCGAGCACCACCGGCGACTGCTGGAGGAGAGCGGCGGGGCCGTCCGGCTGCCCGGACTGCGGCACGAGACCAGCGACCAGACCTTCTTCCTCGCCTTTGCGCAGGTGAGTAGCGTCTCGCCATCCAAGCCCTTGTGGTCAGGATGCTTGTTGCTCAAGGCGCCAGTGAACCAGTCAACAGCATCGGTGAAAATATCGATAAATACTCTTACTCTGGAGGACAGGCGAGTCACGCGGCACTAGAGTTCAAATTTCTGGAACCTGCTACTGTACAACATGCAAGACTTGGAACTTGGACCTTGCCGTATACCCGCGCGGCCACTGATCACCAGCTGTGTTGTTCCTCAGGCGCGCTGCGTTGGTAAAAGGTCGGCAACCACCGACTACCTGCTGTACCGGCTGGCCGGCATCGTCCCCGCCCAGATCGAGTGAGTACCATACGAGTGATACGACCCCCATCGTCCCCGCTCAGATCGAGTGAGTACCCAACTACATGAGTCATGATCCCTATCGTCCCCGCTCAGATCGAGTGAGTACTTAACTAATTCGGCCCGCATTGTCCCCGCTCAGATCGAGTGAGGACCTATCTATAAGACCGACATGGGCGCACTGCATGGCGTGCTCCATCGGTGAAATGGAGTTTTGTAGACAGTACACTGGTTGACCGCTGATCGGTGACTTTTGCCTGCTGACCTCAGGTCTGACCACTGTTCCGTGCGCCGCAGGGTGAACACGGCCGTCTACAACCAGGCCTCCTTCCGCTCGGCGTTCCAGTGCGGCGCGCTGCCGGGCACCTACGACCACCAGCAGTGCGCCATCCCGTCCATCGAGGAGGCCACCTTCCGACCGCCGGCGAGCGCGCTGCAGCCGCCGCACCCCGCCGCCGGCCGCCGCTAGGGGCCAGTGGCCGCCCCGCGAGACCGGGGATAACCAACACAGGGGCCAGTAGCCCGCACCGAGGACCAGTGCCCCCCCCCCCCCCCGCCGGACTGGGGGCACAGCGGCGCCCAGTCAGTGACCATGTGATGATCCGATGTCCGTCCCAAACGGCTGTATTTGTAAGGGGCCTGTGACGCTCAGCGCCTTTTCAGTATGTGTCAGAGATGCGCCGTCCGCGGGACCAGGCAGCTATACTGTCAGCTTTTGATAAATGCGTATTAGCTTATCTGACGTAAGCACGAGGGACGTCATGTTTACGTCATGACGTAATGTCTCACACCCCTTCCCACCGATCACGGGCATTTGTGCCATCATAGTGTGTCCCGCTCTGAGCGCACAGCAATCTGATTGCCAGTCGTTCGCGTGTGTAAAAAAACGGTTAGGGTAGATTATATGAATGACTTGAAGGGCATAATTGTTCGGCTCGGGCTGCTGCACCGAGGAAAAGTGTATGAGGGATTCATATTCGCCCGTCCGTTGGACATGTTTTCTTGTATATTCGAATGCTAAACATATACTATACACCAGTCTGTTGTTACTTTTCACGCCGAGTCCGGATATGTTTCACAGGACATCGAATAAGCTGTAGTTGCGTCGTGGACAGGTTAAACCGGTGCCAGCGACTGTGTGCTGCACTCTCAGAGTCTCACAAACACGGCCCATGCAGCGATATAACTGACGCCAGGTCTATTGGCTACTGAAATTGGTAATACTACCTGTTGTTTAGTGACGTCATAACTGCGTCACGGTGACGGTGCGGGCGGCAGTGATGGTTGGGTGTGGGCCGGGGCCCATTTCCTGGCGCCACAACACTGACTGTGTAAGCTCACACTGCCAGCTACCGACATACCCTTCATTTCCGACATAAGATCCGCTGTTTAAACGGTAAGTGTGTGTCATGCTTTTAAACTCACGGACCATGGGTAAATAATATCTATTGAGGCATAAAAGAATATGCAATAAGTGACTGGTAAAAATGTAAATGAACAAACACAGCATATTATGGTTTTGTGCACTTCCACGCCCCACGGATGGATGGATAGCACAAGTAAATGATCACAGTTTATCTAAAAGCAGTGATAAACACCACAAGGTTGCACGGGAACCATCACAGCGAGATGGAACACTGCGCCACAAATAACTACCGAGTATATTGCGGCGGCGCGGCGGGCCAGATCATCCCTGCCGGCGACAGCAGCGCGCGAAAATAACTGAGATGACACAACACAGGACAGTGCACATACAGTCACAGACACACGCTAATACCTTCATATATGGCTTGTGGTATACAGTCAGGTCATGGTCGGCGATAAAGGCCGGCTGTTTGTAATGCGCGTCACGGTGTGTAGCAGCTTCCGACCCCCCCCCCCCCCCCCCAGATAGCTGGTGGTCGGCTGCGCGGAACGGCTGCGGGCGGCGCCGCCCCGCCCCGCCCCGTACCCCACCCAGCCCTGTGTGCCGGTAGTTTGAGCGACCCCCCCCCCCCTCCCCCCCCCCCCAGCGAGCTGCAGCAGCCCTCACCCGCGACAAAGGCGTCCGGCGTATGGAAGCATTCAGCGGAGACTGCGCCCGGCGCGAGGCCGGCCGGTGCGGCGGCCACCGCGGCTCGCAGTCATCACAGCCAACGCCCGACCCGCGGCCGGGCCGGACCGACTCCCCGCCCGCGACTCTACGCCGCCAGTTGTCACAGAATCAACAGACAGACGAGATTCGGCCGCTAGGTCCCAATGATTTCCGACGGCAAACCTACTATGGAACGTTTAGACTCTCCTTCAGAGCACGAATCCGCCGCCGGGTCAAGGCAAAGGGACCCGTTACCGGTTTAGCCCTCGGTCTCTTTGCCCCCTCAGTAACGCCTAAAGATCACCCATCCGACTATTACAGGTACCGTTCAAGACATTTCACCACAGCTCCCGGCCTGACATTTCACTCCACGCAGGAGATGACAACCCGCAGTGTCCAGTGTCCACACCCGCAGCAGTCGTCACCGCTGCGAGCCGTGCCAACCGGCGCGCCGCCAACACACCCGGTCGGCGGGACTGACCTGACCTCGCCGCTGGTCCTCGGAGACCGGCTCACAGTCCTGTGTAGCGGGGCCGCGCCGGGCCGGCCGCCGGCGCCGCCGACCGGCTGAACATACTCAGCCGGCCGCCGGCCGCCGCGCCGCCCTGCTCGCCGGCGGCGCCGCTGCGGCCGAAGAACGGCTCCTCGGCGACCAGCGCGGCGCGGCAGGGCGCGCGCGCCAGCTCGGCCCGGCCGGCGAGCAGCGCGCGCGTCACACAGCGCAGGAACTCCTGCAGCTTCCGGCGGCGCTCCTCGACCAGCCGGCCGTCCTGCCGAGCGGCGGGGCCAGGAGCCGTCAGTCAGAGCACACGGGACCGTCGTATCACACAGCAGGTCGGCACACGGCTGACAGCTGTTAGATTAAACACGAGACAAGAGCGACTGTCAAAGCAAACAGCCCACGGACAAAAGTACAGTTACTACACATAAAATCGGAAACGCACGGCTTTTTTGTAGCGTTTCGGTGAAGCAACGACTTAAATTGCTTAAAAAACACGTTAAAGGCAGAACAATATAACCAATCATCAGCAAACGCAAAAAACCGCAAGGTTTTATCAGAGTGCTTAACAAGAGTCCCAACTCATCCAGGAGCTGATAACTGCAGATATGCGGTCAAACGTTATAAATTCCCGACAGCAAAACAGAATTTGTTGTGAAGGAAAATTGCTACTACAACATACCTTTTTGTTTAACGTTTTCTTCGGCGGAAAATCGAATTGTCTCACTTCACTGAATTCCTTCTTCAATTTGTTGTATAAAAGGTAAAAACTGGAATATCTGTGATATACATTCCACTCTTCATCACGTATCCGAATATAAACCTGCAATGGTCGACGAGTGGTTAGTGGAACACCAAGGGATAAGTGATGATGGTTTGGGTTTAAACGCCTCGGCGACGAAGGCCATTTGGCGTCCATCACTTCATGTTCAGTATAAGAACAAGTAAAAATAGTCGACAGTAAGAAAACCAGTAAAAGTTATGCGGAAGGGAAAAAATAGATCAGGCCTCGGGGGAATAGAGCTCAGAGCCACGTGAGCAACTTCGGTAACGTCAGTCTCCAGAGTGCACAGACGGAAGCAACACAAAAAATAACAATAAAAAAAAGCAAAGTTCAGGTGTAAAGCGATGCGTTGCGAAGGCCCATGCGTCTGATGAAGCCGAGCTTTTCGGACCGGTACACCCAGCAATCATCATCAACGTAAATCCTAATCAATCTAGACTCCAAAGCACTAACCCGATAATGGATCGGATCGGGCTACCTCAACAACAGACAACTAGATACCGTTCAGGTATAAAGAGGTCTACTTCCCTGCCGAAGCCAACATATGAGGGAGACCCGCCCGCCCCACGGCCGGCCCGATCCCCTACCTCACCTGGTACGGTAGCTGACGTAGTGAGCGCAGTCACTCTCTGCCCCCACCTCACCTGGTAGACGTGGTGAGCGCCGTTCCACTCTACCCCTACCTCACCTGGTAGACGTGGTGGGCGCCCCCTGCTCTCACCTGGTAGACGTGGTGAGCGCCGTTCCACTCTACCCCTACCTCACCTGGTAGACGTGGTGGGCGCCCCCTGCTCTCACCTGGTAGACGTGGTGAGCGCCGTCCCACTCTACCCCTGCCTCACCTGGTAGACGTGGTGAGCGCCGTCCAACTGAACCCTTACCTCACCTGGTAGACGTGGTGGGCGCCCCTATCTCACCTGGTAGACGTGGTGGGCACCCCTGCCTCACCTAGTAGACGTGGTGAGCGCCCCTACCTCACCTGGTAGACGTGGTGAGCGCCGTTGCCGGAGCCGCTGAGGAAGGCGGCCGGGATCCAGCAGTGGACGCGGGGCGGCGGCGGCGGCGGCTCGTCGTCCCCGGCGTCAGGCGCCCCCTCCGAGCCGGAGGTGTCAGAGGCGGCCCCGCTGAGGCCGCACTCGGCCAGCTCGGTCCGCAGCGCGGCCAGCTGCCGCTCCCGGCGGCCCAGACGGCGCTGCAGTCGCTCATTGAACTCCATCAGCTCGCCGTGCATCTCGGCCACCTGGGTAGGGGGGGGGGGGGGGTCCGTCGGTCACACACAACTCCGACACCAGCTGTGCAGTGCGTGGTGGGGCTCGGTCACATACAGCTCAGACACCTGTGCAGGGGAAAGAGGGGAGGGGGGCGGGAAGAGAGCACCTCAGTCCCATGCGACAGGCAGCTCGGCCACCCGTCTGATAAGGGAATGAATGGGTAGGGGCAGATACGACATTTCATACCATTTTCACGCCGTGCGATTGTTATGCAGTAAGACCACCGAAACTTCCGTCAGCTGATTGCACCTACTGAGTATCAACACAATTAAGACAGAGCCAGTCAGACGCTCTAACTAGCCGTCCCAGCTTAACGCCGATCGCTACCCGCCGGGACACTCTACCCATCCTGCGGTCCTACGTCTAACCGCCGTGGCTGACCTGTATGAGTTTGTGCCTCGGCCCCTCCGTCGGGTGAGGGGCTATCTTCTGTTCGTCCCCCGATGGGGGTGGGACCATCCTCCGTCGGTCCGCCGTGCCGGACGGACTGACCTGTATGAGTTTGCGCTGGTAGGCCTCCGCCTCGGCGTGGTAGTCGTCGTGCCGCTGGAGCGCCTGCTCCTCCGAGGAGCGCTGCTCGCGCTGCAGCTCCTCCAGGATCTGGTGCGGCGAGCCGTGCCGCAGCTGCTGCACCGCGCTCACGTAGTTCTTCAGCTGGTGCTTCAGGATGCCGTTCTCCCTGCGTCACAGAGCGAACGTATTGAGGTCACCGGTCTGACTGTCTTACAGAACACAGACACGGCGTGACTTGGCACACTTCAAGGTGAAAGCTGACGCCCTGAAAAAAAAATCGCAATACGTTTAGAAAACGTATTATGTTCTTTAATGTAGATAGAAGTGTGCATGCTGCGCTGCATTATTACGGTATACTTCAAATTCATCCGCTGCAGAAATACCGAAATACCAAAAGTGAAGAATAATAGAAGCCGTACGTTTTCAAGATGTCGCTCTTGGTTCTCACCTCTCTGAGGTGAGCCGCTTGCTCTCCAGGACAGCCAGTTTCTCCTCCCAGACGGCGCTGCTGGCCTCTGCCGCCTCCCTGTCGGCGGGCCGACCGAGCAGGTATCACAGACTGCACTCAAAGGGTGGGCTCAGAGGGACTGCACAGACCCGTCCATCCAATGAGCATCGAAACGGGAGGACGGCAGCACTGACGCAGGTGTTGGCTACAGACGATGGTCATTGTAGCTTCACGGCGCCCTAAGCAGATACAGATGCAGATACAGATGTATTCAAACAGGATCCCCTCTGAGGAGGGGCTTTTCACATGTTCACGTCAATGAAAAACCGAAAATACAAACAATGAAGCGCATACATACTCTTTCACGCACATGCATTCGTTCAACATACGTTCATGTCGGTGGCGTGGCCAGCAGCACATTTTTGACTTTGTAGCGGTACGACAGAATACCTGG